CCCCCCCCCCCCTTTGCTGACTCATATTTTTTGCTTACACATTTAACTATAAATCGACAAAATTTCTTTCTGAAAATCGTCCTCCTTTTTTCACGAAAATAATAAATGAGGATAAAAAATCACCTCTTCACCAACGCGTTTGCTCACTTCAACAAAATTGAGTTCGGGATGCGCCGCTCGGATGCGTTTTCTGGCTTCACCATGGAATAGCATGTAGCCAGTGCGGGCACGAGACCCCTTTTTAGATTTCTGGAAAAAAAAGCACACACACATTAAGTCCGAGTAATTTCAAAGCGGAAAACGCAGATAATTGTGAAAAGTCCGTCTCACCTTCGCTTGGCTGCTGCTACTTGTGCTGCTGTTGGTTGCTGCAGGTGCAGCGGCTTCTTGCTGCGGTGCAGGCGCCGGCGCTGGCGCGCACATCGACGGACCACTGGAGCTGAGCGCATCCGCTACGAATCCACCCGAACTTGTCATATCCATTCCATTTTGCGTGTCTTCACTCACTTCCGTCAATAACACGATGGAACAAACGCCAAAAATTTGTGCAATTTGTTCAGGTCACACTGTTACAAACGCCCAATTCTCGTAAAGAAACTGAAATCTTTGATTAGACACAGTCAGCATATTCTAAACAATATTTGGTGAAAGTATAGGCATGAAAAAGAGAGCAAAAACTTTAAGAGAGTATTCAGTACCCTAGCTAGAAGTAGGGGCGGGGATGGGACGGAGGACAGGGTGAGGGGGGAGGGGAGGAGAACGGGGGAAGAGTATAAGAATCTGAATTAAACGGCAAAATAGTCATCAGCACAGAAAAAGGTAGAACGAAGAAGTGAAACTTGACTCTCCCAGCATGAAATGATAGTAAAAATCGTTTGAAAAATAGGTAAAACAGGATGGGGAAAAATCAAATCCGGGAAGCAAAGCACACCAGAGGGACTGGTGCGAACATGTGTCTTTGCGACCAGCTAATCCCGCTGCCCTACTGATGAATGAAATTTGATCTTCCTCGCTGCTTCTGGTTGCTCTGAGCTTTCTCTTAAAAATTCAGCTTTCCAGCTTTTCTGGATCCCGAGTTAGCAGGTTTCTCGCCAAAATTTCACATGTGCATAATATGTAAGATCAAACGTAGAGTTAGATGCTGAATTTGAAATCTTCTGATGGAAACCTAGATCACAGCAATGACACTTATAATAAACTTGAAAAGGCAGCAGCTTCATAAAAACTTCCCCCTACCCCTTCTCGAAGTTCATCAATGAGCCTGACATTTCAAACACTCCTTAACCTCCATTCGGCCCAGGGGAACTTTACCCTGTGATTTTTTTACCCGAATAAAACACAGCGAAGATCAACGACGTGTGCATAAACCAACTTGGGTGGCAAGTTCCCATCAACACGCAGTAAGTTACAGCCGCCGAACACACACCAGTTCACATTCCCCGTTTCTCAACCAGTACGATAGATGCTGTTTCGAAAGAGACATGGGAAGTTTGGCCAAAAAGGGATCATAAGACAAAAGCAGATGCGCGGATTTGTGGTATTTCCCACCAGTCATCTGATTATGCACTCGAACGGCATTGGGGAAAAAAAAAAAAAAAGTTTAACCAGATGACGCGGCACGTGACCGGGAAAGTTGTCAGATGCACAGCTGGATAATTATGATATGAACTGATAGCTGACTGAAGTGCCAGGGAATGCTCCTGAAGAAATTTTCAGGAGTAATGCCAGCTAACAGGAGTAAAGCTAGCCAGC